CGTAAAAATTCAACCTAGCAAATTTGTGCCAGCAAACAATAAATTGTACGTAACTACAAAAGGAGGTTCAAAGACAACAAAGTCGAAGTCCTAATCGAGAAGAGACCCATTTAAGCTTTCAATAAACCAAAACTTTCTCCATAATGTTGACAGATTGCAACCGATATATTCTTTCACCAACCACAAACGATAATCCACTTTTCGTGTGACTAATAAGTCTCCCAAGCCGATAAAGTCAATGACAACTTGGCAAAATAGGACTTCCTAAATAGTTTCCATTGGAGATATACCGCACTAGCGCTGCTAGCAGAAAATTGACCATGAAGTTTCAAATCTCCGATTCGAAAACACATTTCTTGCCGCCAGTCGTGCGTCACTGTTGACGGCTTCCCATTCCTTTCGCGCTCCATTTTCGTCTGAACGCCTGACTAAAACTAACGCAGGATCTATTTTGGATGACTTGTGGGTAAAAATAATCATTGGTTGAGCTTTTCAAGGCTGTTACGCCAAACTTAAAGCAATGAATCGCTTAAATTCGCCTGCAATGTAAGCGAAGTGTGAGTCTATTATTCAGGAGCTTACTATATCCTGGCTCTCTTTCTCATTATTTCCTCTAATTGAAGAACTATCGGCGATGGTTCAACCCTCGAAAATCAGGCATTACCTAGATATTAGCCTATATCGTAATTGCAGGAAAGATTTAAGGATTCATAAGCAACTGGAAAACGATAAAAAATAAAGCAAAATAAAGTAAAAGGTCCTTTACCATAAGATCATTGTAGCAGGGCACGGGTCACCCAAGAAAATGACCAATGAGTCTGCATAAGCCCTGACACACAGCATTTCGGAAGAATCCCTCCCGGCACTTGGGTGACTTTCGAACGGGAAAATGTTTACATCGATCGCAGCCTTATCCCATCTAAGTTTTTGAGTGATCTTTCTCTCCCAGTGAGATCAATTTAGAGATACATTTCTCCAAAATTTCATCTTTGGAATCCTCTACTCTTTAGGCGGATTTTGAAATTCTGTATCCTTTTATAAACGTGGAGCGTGGCGAATTTATTCATTGGAGGCTTTCGCTCCTCCTTTTACGAATCCTTTCTCTGCGCCCGATGATAAAACATATAAAAATTCAAGCATTCAAAGTTCTTCGTCTCTTTGTAATGCGTTTCGACGTCAAAGGTCGATTTCGTACACTTTTGTGCCTGATATTTCAACCGTGAAAAGTGATTGTATCGTGGTGCAATATTCAGATTGTATCTGTTTACCCGTCTTACAAATTCTTGTATTTAACAATTGGTTCATGCTTTAGCGTGCACTATCGAGTTATGGAGCACGCAGGAAGTTTGGAGTGCACGAAAGAAGCGTAAGAGTTGCCAGAGGCAATAGCCGAGGGCAACTCTAGCTTCTTGAGTGCTCTTCAAACTTCCCACGAGCTCCATAACTCGATAGTGCACAGCTGAAAGCATGAACCAATGGTTTTAAAACATAGCCGGTGGAATTGTGCATCATCAAATCCGACACGAAAAACGGACAACAGTATCAAGCGACGCGAATCTTGACGGCGCTGATGCCGAGTCTCATTTTCCGTTGTCTTTCCCTTTTTCTGCTTCCTTTAAGAACTCTAGCCCATGGGAAAATGTTGGAAAATTGTCTTCGTTTTGGGACTAGTGGGCCGAGTTTATGTTTGTACCCATTATTGTCGCGAAATACGTTATTTTTCCCCGCGCTAACAATGGTCGCTCGCGCGCAAATAGAAAAAAGAATTTCTGGCGAAGCGATTTGCTGACGCTATCAGCGTGCACTATCGGGATTTTGAGCACGCTTACGTATATTAAATTTGATTGCCAGCTCTGCTAGCTATGTTTTAATTTGTCTTTTGTTCTGTTCCACAAACAGAAAACGTCGCCAATACACGTCTTCCAAAGCAGCGGTTTGGTTGTGTTCTGAGTGATAATATTACTTTTCTACGTCTACTGCCGTTTTGGTATCCTTTGACGTTCCCGTCCGGATTGTAAGAAATAGTATCAAGTTCCTAAATGATAACAATAATGATGTCGTGCAAAGCACTGGTTGAGCGTGGCCCTAAGTTATCTGAGACACTATATCTGAGCGCTATACGTATCAAATTCCTTGAAACATGTATATGCAAAAGTCGCTGCATTAACGAATGAAAACCTGACATAATCCAAAAGATATTGACTTAATTCAAAAGATATTGATTTAGCTCACCGCCTTTCGGTTAGCTCAATGGATAGAGCGCTGGACTGTTGTGCGGGAGGTTGAGGGTTCGAGCCCCGGCCGGACTAACACTCAGGGTCTTAAAATATTTGAGAAGAATATGCTACCTTTCTATAACATCAAGAAATGGTTAGATATTCTAGTCTTCTCGGATAGAGACGAATAAATGGTGGTCCCGTCTCCTACAGGGTTAGGGGGCAGGAGACGTTAATTTCCCACGGACGAGATTACTGTGTGATGGATGTCCTCCCCTGGGGTGGGATGGGTGGTTAACATAACCCCCGTTGATACCAGTGCTTACTACACTGAAGGGGCTATCCTGGAAAATATAGATGTAACATTACGATTCTCGAAAGATAGGCCCTCGTATTGCATAACTAATCGCATTCGCTACTTTTTTGCTCTCTATATAAATCAGATATACGTGTGACTATGTGCTGATAAGGATCGATATGCTGTGCTACACAAGGTGATCATCCTTGATATACAATGCCAGCAATATTCTATTCGTGCAAAAAATATCACATGATGTAATCGAGAACAATAGTATTAAAAGCCTCGGGACTTTCCCTAATTACGCAATAAAAGGTAGACTAAGATATCTTGGAAGCTACTTTTTGAAGTGAAAGTCAGCAGCTTTGCTCTGGAGAAATGTTTTTCAGAGAATTGAACCGTATCTTGTGCCGGCTAAATTATAACGCAACGGGAATGAAAAGAAATACTCAGGCAGTGGTTCATTTGGAACTAGATCGTAACCTTTCATGCAAAGAACGATGGAAGTGAATGCTTTATTTGTTTGTCAGATGCCACAGCCATCATCCAAACGGGAACCTTGCATGAACTCGCTTAAAATGAAAATAAAGCGAAAGAAAGCAATATGTGTTTGCAACAAAGCAGGAAAACCAGTGTATGAAAAAGCGAGTACATGATGGAATTCTAGAACAGGAACAACGTACTCAATCAATCCTCTATAATAGGATAGGACCTTTTGCAGTTGGGGTCACGTCGTTAGTCAGGCATGGAAATCATTTCGCGGAATTTGCTCTCTGCACACGCTGGTTCAACAAACGAGGACTGTATACTCTTTTAAGTTGGCTTTTATTCTTCAGCTCACAACATTCACGTTCTACTCTACGATCTGACTAGCTTAGGATCACAAGTGCCACTTTTATTGGCTACAGATATCCACACCCAGATACGTAGGTCCGGTGTGGTCGGATAGGGCTTAATTGTCTATTAATTTCCTAATCGGTTTATCCCACTAATTCCTGTTGCATGGGTCTGTTAGACAAATCTTATTATCGTTAATATTAACACGCGATTTCACTAGCAATTATCTAGTTAATTACATCATTGTTTGTCGATCGTTCTACGCATTCTTTGTCAATATTTCCGGTCATATTCTACCGGTCTCTATTAGAGGTAAAGAACCAATAACTCACTTAGTGCGGCGCTAATCATGCGAAATATAACAAAACAAGCAAAATCCTAATAATGCGTGTAAACGTTCTATATCAAATCACAATTACATTCTGGAAAACTTCCACTTCCTTGCCCATGAGGAAAATAGTTAGCTTGCTCAATATTCAGCTACGATTTGAGTTGGTGCAATTTTGCACGAATAGGATATTTCTGGCATTGTATATCAAGGATGATATCTGGGTAAAAGTTTTTCAGAGAACTAAACTTTCCTGGTGCCGGCTAAATTGCAATGTGAGGGCAATGAAAAGAAATCTCCAGGCAGAGGTCCAGTTTAAACAAGATCGCAACCTTTCATGCAAAGAATGATAGAAGTGAATGCTTTATTTCTTTTTCAGATACCACAGCTATCATCCAAACGGGAACCTTGCATGAAGTAGCTTAAAGTGAAAATAAAGCGAAAGAAAGCAACATGAGTTCGCAACAAAGGGGAAAAATTAGCTGCATGAAAAAACAAGTACGATATGGAATTCTATAACAGGAACAACGTACTGAGTCATTTCTCTTGAATAGGACAGGATGTCGTTAGTCAGGCATGAAAATCATAGACTAAATTCTGGCAAACTCCACTTCCTAGCCCATGAAGTAAATAGGTAGCTTACACAATATTCAGCTACGATGTGAGTTGGAGCGATTTTGCTCTTCAGTATATATTTTAGGGAAGAAACGAGCCTGGCCGAATTGTCTTATGAGAAGAATGAGATCAAATCCTTAGACAGAGGTCCAGTAATTACTTTGCATTATCGCCATCTTTCGTCTGAGCAATTAGATACTTAAAGAACCTGATTATTTCTCAGATATCATATCCGTTGTCCAATTATAATTATAGACAGCACTTGAACCCACCAAAATGTCTGCTAAATACGCCAACGGCAAATAAAGCCCGAAACACTGAACGAAAGTTGGATTTTCCCCAGTCCACAAAACATAAACTACATTACTTTCTAGACTAAAACAAGTATGGATCCAATCGGAACAAAAGCCATCTTGTACATTAGGGACTCTTTAGTTCAAATTAGTTCGATGCCACAGCTGCTCTTTAGAAATAAATAATAAATGAGTTTTTCAAAATAAATACGATAGAAAACATAATTAGCAAAGAGGAAAAAAAATAACTTCAAAAGAAACGTACTCCAGACTTCCGAAAGGATAGAGTAGCAGGAAAATTAGTTAGATGCCAAATCCTCTCAAGAAAAAGGAAAAAATTACCCGAAAGCACACGTACACAGGAAGCTCATTGATAGATGGTACTGTATAAAAGGAACCGTGGTCTGTCTACTCATCATTCAAGTCCACAGGTAGCTTGAGGAGAACCAGCGAATAATTTAGGAAGGAAACATTCTTCAAGGATCGAAATGGTAAGAGAATCTTATTGTTGAATAACTTTTTTACATATTGCAGTCTACTAGCTTTTCCACTTAGGTGTCTCATCGACGCCTCTAATTTACGGCACTTGTCATTAGTTATGCTTAGAATCTAACCATTAGCAAGCTTGTCTTGTTAATTACGTTGTTGAGCTTGTTGAATGATAGGACGCTCGATATTCTCTCAAGCGACGTCCTTGAGTATTTTTGGGGTCCAATAAAAGCCCACCAATATGCCCAGGTATGAATGAAAGCTGATAGTTTCTAAAGAAACTGTTTGGGGCTGCGTCGGTGGGGGCAACGAAATAATTTGGATATATCCACAAAGTTGAAATGCATCAGCACCTCGATACTTGTGTCAGAACGATAGGCACTCTGCCCAACAAGACACCCAGAAGTCCTACTGACCATGATTGTCAGTCGCATTGTGCGTTTTTAATAGCAGTCATAGCATGGTCGCGGGTGTGCGAAGTATCAGCAAGTAATGTTTTATTGTTTGTAGATTACAGAGTGGAAAGCTTTGTGCCTCATTGCAATTTTCTTCGCTGTTACTTGTCAAAGTGTGAACTCACAGGCCTCAGGTAATCAAAGCATTTAAACCATGATGACGACGATTTATTTTTCATTCGTTGCAAGAAGGGCCTTTGATCACTTTGAATCTATCGCGACTGGAAGCAATCGTAAATTGACATAACGCAACAGTCCTTGCTTTTGAAATATAAACTGTACGTTCCTGCAGACAAAGGGACCCGAAAGTCTCTAAACCATATCCTGTTCCTTCTGAGATGAGTTAATCGCGTTCGAGTAAATTAAACAGAAATTTATCGAAAATGTGGGCCTCTCTCGTCAGGTGACATTACAATTGAGATATTACCACTTCAATGAGGGTTTGGAGTCGGTTCATTTACGGGATTATAGTACTACAAACCTGAAAAATAAAAGCTACGTTTTTCAAGATAAGCAAATTATAAGGGTCTCCTTTAGGTAAACACCAAGGTTTGGAGAAAATTCAAAAACCTCTTTTAAAAATTTTGGAAGCATGGGGAAGATTAGGTTTCTAGACCAAATGGATTAAAGATTATCTTTCCCTTAGCAGACTGCTTAAATAATTGGCAGAAGGCAAATACCGCTCCAGTGTGTTTTGGTGCCAGGGATACTCAGTTTGGATCCTTCTACCTGCCATCTGGCGGCGGACTGGTCGGTATAAAGTTAGTCCACAGGTATGGTTACGTGTCCTGTGACGTTAGACATCCCCAACACTGGTCGTTTTGGGGGTGTGGTCAACATAGCAGTTTATCACAAGAGGTTAATGTGCTCATAACAACATCGGACAACAAAATCATTTTGCCGCCGGGACAGTTCATGAAGTACAACCACCAAGCAGGCAAGTGGGCCAGGGTTCCCGGATATAACTCAGCTTCCAAAGAAATTGTGCTGACCCCATTTACGGAGCCTTATGCAGTACTTTCTGGTCAACAGCTACGCCTTTGGTACGGCGAAGATCTGCAAGGTTACACTGAAGGCGACAACGGAGGCAGAGTTTGTTGTGATGTTTATGTTCAGTTTCACACATAGCTGTCTTTTTATATCGGCCACATTCTTGTGAATGTCCATGTCAGTTGTTGTTGATTTTAGAAACTTGCAAAAATGTCATTTCAGGCAGAGATGGGATAAAACAGAATGACAAAGTATTGATTGTATGACGGGTTAGTAATTCACAAGGAAAATAAATGAGAATACAAATTGATTTTGTTGTCGTTACTTTTCTTGTTTTCTTGTTCTAAGTAACAAGTATGGAACACGTAAGTTCCCATTCCTCTCAAACAAGACAAAAAGAAATTTCTCTACCGAGCTCAGAATCTCTCATCTTTCTCATTCCAGCCATGCCATTGTCTTACACTTTAATTTTTTTCTCCGAGAAAAATAATTCAGCTTCATTGCAGCTTGCTTAGTTTATCCAAATTACCAGCAGAATATGATCGGAAGAAACATCGGAAGAAAGTTAAACGCTTTGTTGAAACTAAATTGAGGGAATTTATCAAATTTAAATCAAATAGAAGATAAGATCCGAATGTCATGATATAAGGTGGATTACACAGGCTGGCCAATATTGCATTCGCCATTGTTAACATTTGGGACATCAACCACAGGACGGTGTCTGATGACGTCTGCCATAAGTTAAGGCTGTTCCATATATTATGGAATATAGGACCAGAAACATAAGGTTATCAGGTTTAAGTTATTACTTCCTCTAAGGTTGTCGAAACGTAAGTCACTATTGACCACATTGCTCCTCAGGGCTGTTCAAACCCGGATGATTAGAAAACACGCTTTGTTGTGTATGTCACTGCAGTGATCCTTCCCCTATGAAAAAATCGTTTTCTCTGCAAACATCATCACAAACTTATCAGATATTCCCGAGATGACAAAAAGATACGGTCCCTTGAGCTGGCTTTCACATCAAAATAGTTAAGATTAAGATTTTCCGCGAGCCTCTTTGCAAGAACACGCAGCTTCTAAAGAAAAGAATAATTTATCAAAATAGTATAAGTATGAAAAAGAAAGCGGCTAAAGTAGTCGTCCTAAATATCCCTTTAAAAAAATATTCGCTGAGCTTGTATCGGTATATCTACCCAGGTCACTAGGAAAGGAACGGAGGCATTCTCTTTAATTAACACCTTTAATCTCTTTAAAAAAAGTTAATTTTACCTAATTTGGAATATACTCTGAACAGTAAAATCCATGAGTTTTACTGTGAGGCAGAGAAATAGTGAAAGCCAGAAATACTTGGGTTATTTTGTCAGGGAAAAAAAATTCCATCTGTTGTGAGAAAACTAACAGCAAAGGTGAGGGGTTTGTGGTTTTCATTCGAATAGTGATACGCTCGAGACAATAAACCACGTGCTCTGATGTTGCAACTATCATGCAAATTGAAAGGAGGAGCCATCACGTATGTGGCAGTTATCAATAGTTTTACAGGAGACAAGCAAATCATGTCAAGTCCGACTTAAGCCTGATCGCCCAGCCAGTTGATTTCTACGTTGACATAATATGAGGCCGATCTGAATTTCAATGTGAGATAGTAAACTGGCGATAAAAGCTGGTGATGAAAGTTTGGTTGACAGTTACAACTAAGGGAAATCCTTAGAATTTAACTCAGACACTTGCCTTATCGTTTTTGGAATAAGATGTAATTTTTTGTTCCGTCACGTGGAACCATTAAATACGACATAGTAGTACATTTCACCCGCCCCTAAGAGGGAAAGGATAACAGAATGGTCTCAATTGAATGGATCGCGCAACGCCGGCGACTCAATGAAGAGAATGAAAGCGTGACCAGAAAGGGTGGCCAGAATAAAACTTTACCATAGGCATGACTAGGAACGCCTATCCCCAATTGCGTCCCACTTTTGGAAAAATCTAGAGAGGGTGGTTCAAAAACCGCGTAAAAAGATAACAGGGAAGCAAAATAACTGAACGAGAAAGGGTGAGCTGTGCACGTTTTCTTGTCCACAATACCCATTCCGCACGCGTTTGCATTCGATTTTACGCTCGTCAGACAGAGAACGACCACAGTTAGGGTGGATTTGCCCGAGGTAGGACGCAATTTCAAAGTTCGAGTGTTTCATAACTGTAAACAAAGTGGTAACAACTTACCAGAAGAAATAAAAAATATTATACAAAGCACTCTAGTTCACGATCAAGAACTGGAGGCGTATATTGTAAGAACTCACTCTTAATGCAAAGCAAGAAAACTGGACTGACAAGTATATGTAAACAGAAGTTTTTTTGTTTTTAAATGCGATGACTCATGGGTACTTATAACAGGATGACCGTGGGCTGGAAACAGAAGTAAAGAAATATCACTACAGGTTGCCAATGAGAAAACAATGCGAAGGAAAAAAATTTGCTCAAGCGCGGGAAAATCCAAGTTAACTACTTTTACTTATGCAAGTGACTGGTCGAGGAAATTAGCGAGCAAGGTTTAAAGAAAACTAATTTAATTTGAAACCTCTCTGCTTCTTACCGTGCTTTTGTGCTTTAAGTCTAATATAAACATTATGGAAGTTGCCATTCTCCACAGAATGTTCTCCAACTACACATATGTACTGCGCACGTTCTCCGTCTAACACGCATGTGCGGTGTCCTCTGTTCTCCCATGCCACGATAGCTGATATACCACACACAAGGATGGGAAATAACATGTATTGCTGGAAATAGGTGAGACATGACAACGTTAGTGTTTGGAGAGTAAACATTAGTGATATAAATTCTACTATAGTCACGGAATATTTTTACTGCCGTGTCTTTAAATGAAATTCCCATTGATTCCAATGACTTGGTAAATCAGAGAATTACGTCAGCGATTAAATGCTATCCAAAGGAGTGCGATCAAAACGACATTAAAACTCTTACTCCCCAGACATAGAAGCTACATCTGCTTTTTAAATGCTATAGATTTGTTTGTTGGCTTTTCGTTAGGGTCTGATGATCTATCGAGACAAAGTATCATGCAACACGATAAACATTTAATTCTCATTACCAGTCGCTTGGACAGTGTATAAAAAACATTGAGAAGAATATGTTATATGATCACCCAACTGCGAGAGAAGTTTAGCAAAGACTCGCATACTCATGTTCTAAACTCAGTTCGGAAAATCTATCTTATGAAGCTTTCATTAAAATCTTTTGAAAGATTAAACACTGGAGCCTCAGAGGAACAGATGAAGATTCAATCAAAGTGAAATTTGTTCGCTGCATTTAAAAATAATCACAATCATAATGACCTAAAATGGAATCCTAATCAGTTTGTGCGTGAAAAAAAAAGACTGTTACATAACCGATCAAACTCGTCAGATAAAAAACTGTAGAAAAACGTGTGCGAACTAAGTTCCATGAGTCATATGAGTAAGTTGAAAAGCGAAATGCGTAAGAGTAGCTCGAGGCGCGGCCGAGAGCTACTCTAGCGTTTTTGAGGGCTCTCCAAACTTCCCGCGTGCATCCATAACTCAATATAAGCACAGCTAAACGCATGAACAAATTTTTTTATAATAGAGCGACAACAAGGATCTGTGCGATAGAGTGCAAAACTCTCACAATGCACAAAAAAAGTAAACAAACTTCCCTATTGGCTGACCAAAAGCACGCCACATTTTATACTTTGGTTTGAGCGAGCGCATTTGATACAGTTAATCGATAACTGTAAGTGAAAAGCTCAAAATCAACGAGGAAAATGGAGAAAATCAAAGCTAAATGAAGTCAAGTGTCACTATACAATGTTTTAAAACTCAACGATCTGACAGATTTGCGAAACATTTTTTTTCTCTGAAAGGATACAAAATAAAACTCCATTAATTCACAGTGAGAACCCTCGACTTCTTTTTTCTGTTTTAAGGGGGTAAGTTTTGTATTCTATCCAATCTTTAGATGTCCGCACTATATTTTCTTTGTATGGAAAGTATCGCTGAAATTATTTTTCCTTCGGTTTCTCCAGTCATAGCATCATAACACTAAATGCGGCTTGCTCATGTTTTCAAAAATAAAACATGAATTGTGCCTTCGAGATGGTTCTGCATAATTAATGCTATGTTTTCATTTTCCAGCGGTTGCGATTTGATTGGTTTGCATGAAAAATAGTTTTGGTGCTGAAAAAAATTTCACAAGAGTTTGAGGGTACGTCAGATTTCTCATTCGTGATATCTTTCCAAAGTTTTATCTATAATTTCCCTCCAGCTTTGCAATATCAAGAGTAGTCAGGATAAAAACCAGGCTCGTGAAAAAATCGAGAACAGACAGAAAAGTTGGATATTTTCAGTTAATTTTAACTGAGGTCAAAAAGTAAGAAACAGGTATGATTTATATTTACAAGGAGTTATTCTGCATTTTAGCTGATCGATTGGACCATCTCTTTTTAATTGTGCATAACTATTATCGATCAGACGTTTGAAGTGATTCATTTGTTTCTTTAATAACAGCAGGATTTCAGTAAACTTATACCTCTTTCTTCTTTACTTTCGTATACATTCGATTAGCTTTCCTTCATTCACTAAACATACTTACGCTGGCCTCAAGTAAAATTCCCCAAGTAATCAGTGTAACCATGGAAACGAAAGCCGTAAGTGTTCCAATGTAAAATCGTTTTCTACTTAGAGTAAGAATGAACTCTGAAAATTGATAAAAACTTTGAATCAGTTGCAGCTGACTTAATTTGGCTCGACCTAATTAACAAATGGTAAACACCACAGCGTACACTATTGAGTTATGGATGCACGCGGGAGGTTGCTCAGCACGAAACAAGCGAAAGAGTCGCTGGAGGCGATAGCCGAGAGCGACTCTAGCTTCTTGAGTGCTTAGCAAACCTCCCAAGTGCATCCATAACTCAATAGTGTACGCTGTGGTGTTTACCATTTGTTTTATAACATAACATTGATACATTGTAGCTAAAGAGTTCCCTTTTATTTAACAAATCTTACGTGACCAGAAAAAACAAGCGCGCGCGGAAAAATAGTCTTTGCATTTGCTCACGTCAGCAGCGTACACCCATGGGCAAATGGGGGACGCTAAATTGACCAATCAGAGCGCGCGCTTTACTTTGGTTATGTTATAATTATGAATGGAAGACTCATCGCATACTACCATAAATAAGTAATAAAAAACGGAAGCGAGAGTCCCTAACAAAACTGCGTTCGTCCTCCTTAAAAAACTAAGTCACTAACCGGTAATCTTGATTGCATAAATCGGCTCTTAACGTTTCAAGCAAAAAAACAAACAAACAAATCACAGTACAGCACACACACACACACACACACACACACACACACACACACACACACACACACACACACACACAAAAACCGGAAAGGAAAAAAGAAGAGCTGAGAGTATTGTGGATCTTTACGTCACACTTTGACTTAACGCACTGAGCTTAATCTATAGTTCTGCCGGAGAGATATTTTCAGCCCTATTTAAGCCAGCTTACATTCTTACACTCGCACTTTCAGAAGGATAAACGATAATTTCACTTACTGTTTCCTTCAACCATTTTAAACGGATAATATGGGTTACACTGAAGTTTCCGGTTAAGTATAGCTTCTGGCTTCTCAAGGATTTCAAGCGCTTTCAGCGCCTTTTTTAAACCCATCGTTGCTGTTGTCGTTTGGAGTATTTTACCTCGTCCCAACTCGCTACAATAACCTCATACGAGCTTTGTGACGTCAGTTCTCGCGCGCATTAGTAACAAAGCTACTCGAGACGCAAAACGTAGTCTTTCGCGTTGCATTCTGGGTTTAATAATTTTAATATTTCATAAGGATTATATGGCAAACAGTAGGGAGAATTCCAGATGAGATTCTGGGAATAAAAGGATTAAACGCACTTGGGAAGTTTGTGGAGCTATCAGGAAGTTTAAGATGCTTTCCACTGCACAATCAAGCCCTAAACTCCTCTATTTGCTGTGTACAATTTATTTTTGCCTTTTAGCTGTAGCACTGTTTTGAGAACTATACGAAAAGCGAGTTAAATACAAGTTCAATCTCGTCATATGCTGTGACCATCGCCGTCCCTATTTTACGACGAGATAGTAGCGTAGCAATCAAGTGAAAGCTTGAAAACAGTGCCCAGGATAATAAACATAACAATTACCTGTCAGTCGAAGATTAAGTACGCTAAATACAGAGGTTACGAGATTTTATGTCATCTGAAAGCCATACAAAAACGTGTATTGATCTAAAAAAGAAAAAAAAAACTCATTAAAGTCCACTTTGCGTGAAAAATTCAAACTTTTTGTACATTATAAACAGTATCAGTTCATGGCGATGTCGTCGGGGGCCATTAAAAGTAAAATAATAAAACACAAAACACGCTCATCGTTTGTAAATGACTGGTTTTATTTCCTTCCTCGTATGTTGCAAAATTTCAAGTCAATAATCGTCTAGAGCACCCATTGGGGTGGAGGATAGGAAATGGAATTATGTCCAGTCATCTTGTTACGTGATTGTAATTGCTTATTTTGATGTTCTTGTTCAGCTTACAAATTATGTAAAACCTCTCTCTCTCTTCGTTTTCTCTTTAGAGCAGTAATACTTAATAAAAGCACTGATATTCCGTACGATATTTTCTCGAATTAGCGCCCTGACTTTTATTCAAACTTTCGGCTTAATCGAGGGGGCGTTTATTGGGTTAACGCAGCAGTGAGACAAAAATTAAAAGAAAATTTAACCATAAAGGAACTCTGCAAACGCATGAAGCCAGAAATAACTGGAACGGAAAAGAAACTATTCTCCTGTAACCTGTAATGATTCCGCTGTAGCTTATTCGAGGAGGGAGGTGGGCACTACCTTGAGAAAATACAAATAACGAGTAAAAATACTTAGCGATACTACACAAAAAAACGTCTAATAAGTTATTTATTATCCACCACGCCAAACTGTTATTTCAGTGAGGGCGAATTTCGCGGAATTTATTTACGGGGAGTGCGTGACAGAAGAATGCGAGGCGGAACGGAATTGGCGCATTGTCGTGTTTTTTTTGTTTTTTTTTGTTTTTTTTCTTAAAAAAATGAAGAAATTTCAAGGTCGTCTAGCTGTTTTTCTTCGTTCAATTCATCTAATAAACTTGGATGTATATTTGCCAGCCATTCTGACTCTTCGTTGTCGGAAATATGATTCAAATTGTCCGCCATTTTTTTTTTTTTCCGTAACTGCAATTCAATTCTTCGCTTGCGCGATGCGAGAAAATCTGTTTAACCGGTATTCTACAGAACAAATACCGCGTGATATTTGTACTCGTCTATGGCGTTATTTGTACTCTACGAAGTGTAGCTAGATAATAAAACCAATTATTCACCCTAAGCGGAGAATAAAGGAAATTAAAGCTCTTGTAGCCTTTCAAAGGTCACATCTCTCTCACACCTCATCGTTTCTAGAATCATCATCGACCGTTAGAAGAATGTAATCTTTTTCATCGCGCTTTGAGACAATTGCTGCAGCCACTTGCTCCGACTGTCATACACTCCAATGGCAAAAAGTTGCTTGCTATAGGCTTACTGCTATCCCGTAGCTTTGGCAGAAACTACCGGCACAACAACACAGAAAAATGCTGGTTACACAAGAATTTACACTCGACCTCAGAACTTAACGCTTATTTTCACTATTTCACCGAATTTCTGGCTAGCCTTCGCTTATAAGCACCACTCCTATCAAATCTCATAACTATAGGAATCAATTTCTATAGATGACACGAGTTTATAGAACAATCAGCTTCCCGTTTCCTCGAAACAAGCAAACCAAAATCCTCGTAGTGATATGTTGAGTTAGAACTATATTTTCATGGACACTTCAGATTTGAGAATTTGGTTTTCAATCCATAAATCCTCAGCCCATATTATTCTTTCTTCTTATTACCCATTTGGTTAAAAATGGTAAATGTCGGGAGAAATTCCTTTCTGGTCAAGCTTGGGAGTGAAAGCGTGAAAATCGAACTGAATAACTTTCTCACACCCTAATCAGTAACTGCTGATACCAAAGGGGCTCATGTAAAACAAGAACGGCCACAAGCTTTCAAGTTAGATTCTGATCCATATTAGACAAATAAATCTTTCGAGAAACATCTTTTTCTCCCTTACTCCCAAGGTCAAACTCAACCCCTTTTCTTATCTTTATTTGCACACATGACGCAATCTACATTGCTGATCCTTGCGGTTCGCAGGACACGTGTTGCAGAAGAAACCATGTAATTGTCCGGTTCACTAAAGGATCTCTATGGCTCACTCGGAGAGCATTAGAGCGCGAAATCTAGAGGTTTGGGGTTGGATTCCCCGTTGGAAATTCAAAACTTTTTCCCTCTTGCTTATTCTTTCCATACCATCGTTTTACACGTTGTTTGTCCAGAAGAAATAATCTTGCTTTATTTCAATTTGCTTAGTTTACCAAAAGAATATGGTACTTCCTTGAAATTACACATCAAAAGAAAGTTGAACGTTTTGTTAAAATTAGATTGAGTAATTTATCAGACTTAAATCAATCAGAAGATGATATCAGAATGTCATGATCTAAGGTGGATTACACAGGATAGCCAACATTGAATCTGCTGTTATTAGCACTTGGGTCATCAACCACAGGACGGTGTCGAATGACATCTGCCATAAGTTAAGGCTGTGTTAAGGATTATAAGAAAGGAAACATAAGGATGTCAGAGTTAAGTGATTACTTCCCCTAAGGTTGTCAAGGTTGTTGTGTATGTCACTGCAGGGATATTTCCACTATCAATATCATTTGCTTTGAGAACATCATCACAAAATCATCAAAAATTTACGTGATGTCAAAAAAAGATACGGTCCCTTGAGCTGGCTTTCACATCAAAATAGTTGAGATTAAGATTTTCCGCGAGCCTCATTGCCAGAACACGCAGCTTCTGAAGAAAAGAATAGAAAGCGACAAAGCGGCTAAAGTGATCGCCGAAAATATCCCTTTAAAAAAATATTCGTTGAGCTTGTATCAGAATAATTACCCAGGTCATTATCAAAGGAATGGATGTATTCTCTTTCATTATCATCTTTAATCTCATAAAAAAAGTTATTTTCACTCGATCTGTAATATACTCTAAACAATAAAATCCACGAGTTTAACTGTGAGAGAAAATCTTGAAGGACAGAAATACTTGGGTTATGTTGTCGAGAAAAAATCCTATCCGTTGTGAGAGAACTAAAGTAAACTGAAGCGCAAACAGCTACGGTGACGTGTTTGTTGTTTTCACTCGAATGGCGATACACTCGAGACCATGAAATCCACGTGCTCTTATGTTGCAACTATCATGTAAAAAAGGAACTATCAAATATGTGACAGTTATCAATACTTGATTCCATTTTCAGCTGAGATGAGTTTTCATTGATTCTTTGTCAGGAGACAATCAATTCATATCAAGCCTGATCGCTCAGCCTGTTGGTTTCTACGTTAACATGATATCAAGACGTAAATTAGCGATAAAAGACGAAGATTGGCTGACAGCTACAACCAAGAGAAATTCTTAAAATTTAACTGAATCACTTGCCTTATCATTTTTGGAATAAGATGTGATCTTTTTGTTCTGTCACGTGGAATCCGTTAAAGACGACATAATAGTACATTTCACCCGCCCCTAGGAGAGAAATTATAACACAATAGTCTAAATTGAATGGATCAAGCAACGCAGGTGACTCCGTGAAGAGGATGAGAGCGTGACCAGAAAGGATGGTCCTGGGACTACGACTGCGTGAACAGCAAACAACATTTTCTTACTGCCTAACCAGGATAAATCTCAAGCAAATGCGTGACTACAAGGGCCTGTCCGAAAATGCGTCCCAGTTTTGGAAAAATCTAGAGAAGGTGGTTCACAGACCGAGCAAAAAGATTACAGAGGGAAGCAAAATAACTGAATGAGGAAAGGTAAGTGTGGACGCTTTCTCGTCCACAATACTCATTACGCCGTTGCGCTTGAATTCGATTTTACACTCGTCAGACAGAAAGCGACTACAGTTAGAGTGGATTTCTCCGAAGTAGGCCCAATTTGATCAAGTGTTCCACAAATATAACCAAAGAGGTAAAAACTAACTTAAAGAAATGGAGTTATTACAGTAGATAGTTTAGTTCTCGATCAAGACCTGGAGATGTAGATTGTTAAAACTTACTTTTAATGCAAAGCAAGAGAACTGGACTGAGAAGTGTATGTGAATGACAGAGTTGAATAGCATTTCATTATTCAGCTCTGACACCGCGGAAATACTTTTTGGTGACGTCACAGTGGTCAGTGGTCATCAACATTAGGCTGTCAAATGCTTTCACGTGTTACTGGACTGAGTTCGATGAAAACATCGGCCTTTTACAAGGTTTTAAGTCGGAAAATATCCATGATACCTCTCCTTGTTTATTATGGTTGATCCTTTGAATGGGATTTTAATACTAAACCACGTCTTAACAAATAGCGGTACAGGGGAGTCATTTTGTTTGGAGTTTTGTGCTGTTCGCTGACTTTAGCTGGCAGTCGTTTCGAAGTGCGATCGTGGTTCGTCAGTCGCCCTCGCCTTCAGAATTTTCAAAAACAGTGATAGTTATCCAGACAAAGCAAGAGATTAATTCTGTAAGATAATTTTCCAGCGAGTCTGAAGAC